GTGCTTGAGAAAACCAAACATGCTCCTGGGCCTCCTGAACTGCAAATTCCTTTTCCCATACTATTGGTCTGGCTGGTGTAAAAAGGGCATTCCCCAGACTGTCCTGGTCATCCACTCATTTCCCAAGTTTTCTACAAGAGAATAAGAGAAATACTAAAGGACAAATAGCCTGCCCTGTTCTGAGCATCCTCATTGCTTCCTTTGAGTCCCACGAGCAGATGGTACCTCAGTGTGAACTTCACCTAAGTGAAGTTTCAGCCTTCCTCAGCATCCAGTGGAATAGCTCTGGATCCAACAGAGACATTTCTTTTTAGCTAATTTAAGGTTCAGCTCTTGTGGGCCCTTGGATTCAATGCCTGAGTAACATCCCTCTCCCCCTGGCTGCAGGGATGCTCCTGTGATCCAAACCCTTTCCTTTTTTTTTTTTTTTTTTTTTTTTTTTTTTTTTTTTTTTTTTTGTGCCACAGAAACAAGCAGTGCAATTTCTGCTGATTTCCAAAGGTTTATTTCCCAGGGCAGCAACAAGGGCAGGGTCCAGCTGATCCCTCTTGGCCAGACTAAACCATCTCCAAACAGGAACTGTTCATAAAGGCAGAACCAACAAAATCTCAGATCACTGCACTGATTTAGTGCCTCTGGGTGCTCTCAGCTCCTTCCTGACATCTGTCACTCACCTTCCCTGGATAAAGAGACTGCATAATCCAAGGGACTGAGAGAGGAAGGATAGCAGAAATGTGCTTTGAGTTGATTCAGAGTTTGAGATGCTTTGCTGCAATCATTTGAAGAGCAAAGGATTACAGAGGGTGCTGTGCACCATCCTAAACTGACCTTCCCACTGCTCCTTCCTAGCCCTGTACCTGTGTCAGGGCAGTGCATTTAAGGGTGCTGGGAGGTGCTGGGTCACCATCCCAAACAGTTTTACTGACCCAGGGGGACAAGGAATACTCCTGTCCTGTCCTTGTACTTCAGCTCCAGTTCAGCAAGGCAGCACCAAGCCCACCCTGCCCTCAGGAATAATCCCAGGCTGGCAGGGATGAGGAGGTGGATGATTCTAGAACAGCACATCAGCACTCCTTCAGGAGCTGGTCATGCACTTAAACAAAACCACTCCATGTCTCATCCTCTCCACCAGTCATATCATCATCTTTATTAAGATGATACATTGGAAACCAGAGGAAGACATTTGGTTATCTTAGCAGGATCCAGCTCTAAGATCATCCCAAAGCCCATCAGTTCCAGAGGCCACTGCAGCCTCACCAGAGCTGATGTGCCTTCAGGACAAAAGGAAATAGAACAAGACCCCACCATCAACACCAAACTCAGCTCAGTGTGGAGAGAAGAGACTCATTTGTGTGGAGGTGCTCCCCTTCTCTCTTCAGGGGTACAAGCACTGAGGAAGGGAGGAGCCACTCCTAATAAAGGGCTGCACGTTGGGTGACATATCTGCACACCAGGACATTTCACCTGCCAGGATCTGACCCAGCTGGAACTTCCCATGGCTTAAGGCCAAGCTAGAGAGGGGTCACTGTCCCTTCAAAGACAGGTTAGCAGGAGTGAGAAAGAACAATATGCCCCCAAAATGCCAGGCTGTTCTACACCTCCTTCAGTTACTTCCCAATTGGTTTGCTGAGATGCAGGAACACTGAGTAAAGTAATATATTGTGATAAATAAGGGATTTTTCAAAGTGCTGATTTATTGTCTGACGCTGCATGGACAGTCCAGGCAATTCTGCACTGGTGCTCCCTCTGAAGTCAGTGTTCTGCCAGCCACTTGTGTACAGCACAGCACAGTACAGAGCTCCCACTGTGGATAAAAGCCATGGTGTGTACATCCAACATAATTCATATTTAGAGGATTAGATATAAAATATTCATATTTATGTATGTATTATTTATAATTTGCAGTTTCATGGGAAAAGATGCAAACTACCTCAAAACAAAAGTGATAGCACTCTGCTAGTGGTGTTATATTTATGGGCTTCACATACATTTGCAGCTACTCCTATTCTGAATGAAAACCATAGCATTTTTATATGGAGAAATGCACAGTTTATCAAAAGAAGATGGTTTTGGATAAGAGGAGAAAATTTACAATATGGTTTTTTTTTTCCCAAAAGTAATATAAACATCTCTTCATACTCCCACAAAATTCAAAGAATTTATATCCACACAGCATCTCATGCTGCTGTTGTTTGTCACAGTAGTAAGTCAGTAGTAAAGTCTGGAGGATCACACTCACAGTGTCAAACTGAAAATGGTGCCACAGGAGAAGTTTATCAAGGACATTTTGTGTTAGGAACTGGCCTAAGGGGACTCATTCATTCCTTCTAATAAAAGCAATGTTGCACTATAACTTGTCTATGTGGGTGACTGGGTTCAGTTAGATTAAAAGCATAAGCAAACCAAAAAGTTTCACACTGGTGAGAAACAATGGATAGAACAGACAGGACTTGGGACAGCCAAGGAAGCCCCAAAATGTGGTGGATAAATGGGGTGTATTGAACCAAACCACCTCAGCACCAGTGCAGGAGAATATTGTCTGTATGAAGTCACTTGAAGCTGTTGAACTTCTGCAGGTCCAAACATCAGTGCTCACACTGGGTGGCACCACAGGAACCTCCCAAATAGTCAGTGTGGATATTCCAGCTGGATTCCACACCTGGAAAAAGTAAAAGATAAATATCCTTAGCCAGGCCCTTCCTGTTTAGAGGATCTTTCCAAATTGGTCCCAAGTTTTTAAAGACCTGAAAGCACTCACTGCAGCCTCCTTCCTCCCCGCTTGACAGCAGTTTATCACCAATTCCACTTCAGGGCTATTTGACATTAAATTGATGGCCACAAGCCTGACAATGTGTGGGGCAACCTCACACCCCAGGCTCATGTTCTCATCACGCTGACAACAAAGTTGATTCTTCTGTTACCTTTGCAAGTCAGCCAAAATTACCAATAAATTTCCTGCCAGTACTTCCAGTTCAGGTGTTAATCCCTGCAGCCAGGATATAAGCTGCCGCTGCTGTGATATTTGCATCTCTCAAAGGCAGAATTTGCAAAAATCTGAAAATACAAGGCCTTGGAAAGCCAGCAAGGGTGTGCTGGACACATTACCAACAGAGATAGCTTTAAAAATGCACAAATGAGAAACACGATTCAAATTTTGTAAAGTTTTGGGAATCTGAGTTCTAGCACAAGGGCCTTACTCCCCAAACATATCCCATACCCAAAACTTCTTTGCACTGAATATTAAGTAGGACACTTGTCCATAACCTTTGATTTAATACTACAGCATTAATTTAATTCTCAGAAAATGAATTCTTGGTTTTTGGCGCAAGATACTTGGTAAAAGCTCAGCACATTTCTTGGCTGTCTGTCCTAAATGCCTATGGAGATCCTCAGCCAACAGTCAAGTGCTTCCAGAAAATTAACAATACTCCTCTACATGCTAATTCCCCTGGTGTTTCTAGTTGCTTCTCTCTGTCTCAAGCACCAGCCAATGATAACAGACACTGGCTTGAAGCCAATCTTCTTTCTAAACTTCCTGTGACTGCAAATCAAGAGGTGTCCCCCAAAGGAAAAGAGCAAACCTTGCTGAGAACTCTGATAACATCTATCCCTGTAAGCAGCACTGCACTTCCCAAAACACATACTCACTCCACACAATACTCAAAAGAGAAAATTTTTTTGTCCCTGATTTTATCAGGAAATAAATTCTGTATTTGTTCAACTGGCACATAGCCAGATAAAAAATATATATCCAGGCCAGATTGGACAGCCAAGCTTGGTATATGGCATCAGTAAAATTTTGGTTTACTGATGCTGAGCAGCTAATGGGAGAATTGGGGTTTTGGGTTTTTTTTTTTTTGGGGGGGGGGGCGTGAGAGGAGGATTCTGTCTGCTAAAATCCTGAATCATTTTCCCATAATTTCTTCTCTTTACCATTAACAATTCAATCCCCCATAAATACATTTCTGGGCAATTAATTCCCATGTGTAATCATGCTATCAGTTGTTTCTCTAAGGGAATATTATTGTTTAACCTTTGATACTGTCTCTGTGTCTCAAAAGGATGTTTGACTTGGCAATAAATTACTGTAGTTATTCTTCCTTAAGGAGATTTATTACTAAACACAAACAATGCATTTAAAGATTTTTATTTTTATCCAGAGTAAAGGAGTTGCAACCAAACAATCCCACTCTGTATGAGTCTCCTCCTGCACTACAAATCAGTTTCTTGGCATGCTCACAAACCAAAGCAAGCCATGTGCCACAAAAGGAGGCTCCTGTGCTTCATTCTTGCCCAAAACTTTCTCTGGAAATCCTCAGAGCCTTCTTACACCCCTGACAACAGGCAATTCCTCTGTTCCTCTTGTGTCACCCTTGAGTCAGGAACAGGAGTGAGGTGACACATGGACTCCAGGTCTCTCCAGAAGGGTGAATATGAGTTTCTAATAAACCAATTCTTTTATACACCATTCTGATACAGGTAGACCTGATTGGGCATTAATCAACACCCCATTACACAATTGGATAATTAAGACACCATTTGGTAAACATTTTACCAAAGAAAACAATTGTTCAAAGCACCAGCTGCAAGATTGTTTTAATTCTTTCTCTCAGCCTTCTCAAAACTCCCCAGAACAATTCCTGGGAAAGTTTATCTGGATTACTCTCTCTGACTAGCCTGTCACATCCACACCTCTAGCAGTTCACCTTTTGGAATTTCCACTTTGCTCCTTGTGCACTTCATTTCTTCAGCCTCACTCAGTTCATGGTACAAGGAGTCTTGGCAAGAAGGAGCCATGGGAGCTGTGGATCACAGAGCCCTGGCTCCAGCAGGATATTTCCAATAAACAGGGCAGCTACTGCTCATGTCCCACTGGAGTCAGCTCCTGGCTGCCCCAGGGATGGGGAATAACCGGGATTTCCCTGGAGCAGGGGCGGTGCAGTGGCTCTGTGACCCCTGTGACAAGTGACACATTCTCCTGTCTTTCTCTCTGTTCCCAGCCATCGCCTCGAACCAGAGCAGCGCTTCCAGCGCCTTCCCGAGCGC